GGTGTGCCCCTGCCCCCGTACCCACTGCAGTCTTTCTGTGGTTCTGCTTTCCTAAGACCCCGCTACTATGGAGGCAAGATGCCCATCCTGGATTTTACAGCTTTTCTCCCTACTTCTGAAAAACAGTGGTAGAAGCTATAATTCCTTCTGACTGCTGGCTCCAGAATGAGCCCGTTATTGTTTGAGGGGAACGGGATGCCTGCAGGCCTGGGATGAGGCCCTTTTAAGCTATGTTCTTAGGACCTCTCACTGTGGCTGCAGTCTCTGGAGAGCCGTATCAGCGTACAGGCCAGGGGTCTGTGTGTCTGGCCCACAGGAGCCCAGCCAGCCCCAGGAGTGATCTGTGAGCCTGCACTTACCCACTTTCTGATCCTGAGGCCTCGGGTTCCCAAACAACACCTGAGGCCATGTGGCGAGTGCAAGGATCCAGCTAAGCCAAGGATGCTATGGGAGCTCAGAGGGATGGGCAGGGGCACAGGGTTGTTCAGAAGTGATGCCTAGTTGATAAGTAGGAAAATGGGAATTAGGGGTGGTAGGGAAGAATCTTTGAACTAAGGAGACATCTGAGCACAGGCTTGGAGACAAAGAAGGGTAGTATGTGCAGGAAACTACAACCCACTTCAGTGTCACCGGAGCTAGAAGGTACAGGTGGGGGAGGAGGGTGTAGGAGCCCTGCCAGCCATGCCACGGAGTATGGCTTTGACTTTTGCCTGAAGTGATGGGGAACCATGGGAACTCTTTAAACCAGGTATGACAGAGTATTTTTTTGTTTTTCTTTTAATACATTGGTAAAAATGTGCTGGAGGTAGGACAGGCAGAGGGAGGGGAAAAGGTGATCCCTTGAGATTCAGAAGAAAGGATGAAGGGAGAGTCGTGGGGATGCTGTAAGGATTTCCATTTAGGGCAGGAGGGACATGCTGTGGGCAAAGTCCGAATAACTCCAAAGGAATTGGTGATGGTCCTTTGGGGATCCGTGGACAGCCATGGGTGTTTGGGGTGTGTGGGTGTGCACACCCCTTTATTTCTCTGGAGAAAGGGGATGAGTTAAAAGCGGGACCAAACAGCAGTTTCTTTTCTCGCTTTTGGGTTCCCTTCCCCACACCTTTTCTGGAGTCCTCTCACTGCCCTTCTGCCAGAGTGGGAAGAGCAAAGCAGGAGGTACGGACTGTGAACCCCATAAAGCAGGAGGTAAATCTGCATCCCTGGTCCGGACTGGGGTGAGGACGATGGCCTCTTATTAAGTGATCTAATCCTTTCAGTGCAGCCTAGGGGAAAGAGCCAGCCCACCACTTACCATCTAGGCTGACTTCGGGTGAGAGAGAACCTAACCTTTCGAGCCTTCATTACTCCATCTGCCAAATGGGGCTCAATTTACTGCCGACGGAAGAGAATCACACTGAGTAAACATGGCTGTTTAGCTGAAGTTAGTTGCTCCTACGTGCTGAGGTCACAAGCTTACAGTTAATGATGGTCTTACCAGAATGTTCATTTTTGGGGTGCAGCGTTGAGAGGGAGGCCCTGTTCAAGTCTCCGTACTCCGAGAAAGGACGACCCGCGATCTATTTGGGTTGGGGGGGGGCGGGAATTGGGCGATAAGCTCCTGCCCCTTCCATATTTTACCCTGTGCCGGGGAAGCTTGTTGGGTGCTTTACTGTGTCCCGTCCCTGCTAAGACAAGTGCGTGTGTGGTTTGCGGAGGATGAGGTCCGCCCCAAGGGCGGCCTGCTTAGCTCCCAGGGGGAGGGGCCAAGTGCTGGAGCCTTCTGGACCCCGCAACTGGGCGGGCCAGGCTCCACGTGTTCCCCGAGACCACGGGTTTCCATGGCGAGGCGGGCTGCTAAGCTGCAGCGTTGGGCAAACGGACTCGGACGCCTCCCAGGAACCCGGGCTCACGCCGCGGGCGGTCGGGGCCCTCCGCGCGCAGACGGCTGTCGCGAGTGCCTCGATCACTCTCCGATTTCAAGGTTGAAAGCGGCGGTGCGTGCAAGTGTAGCTAAACGCAGGCCGCGGTGGGGAGGTGGCCAGGCCGGGCGCCCCGCGGCTGGGGGCGGCGGCCCGGTCTCACTCCCGCCGCCCGTGCGAGAGTGGCGGCCGGCGCAGGAGGCCAGGCCCGCCGCGTGCTCACCTGCTTGTCCCGGAGGCTGGGGGTGGGTGGCTGCGGGGCGGGGCCCGGGCGCGACCGGCCAATGGGGAGAGGGCATTCATTCGACTGCTGAATTCCCCCTGGAAAGGGGAGGGGAGGCGGAGGGGGCCGGGGCGAAAGTTCCAAGCTACTGAGCGATGGAAGGCCTTGGTGGGGGCCGGAGCCGCCCAGGGACAGTTTGGGGCGCAGGGTCAGGACAGAGGCAGAGAAAGATGCCGGCCGCGGCCGCCTCCGCCAAGAGCGGCACGCCCCGCCCTGGCCGCCTCTCCCTTCCCGGGCTCCGCTGGGTCACCCGCCCGCCTGCGCCGGCTCCATAGCGCCACCTGCTGGACGCAGGGTGCCAAGGCCGAGGCTCTCACAGGCTGCGACCGCCTTGGCCTCCCAGGCCTGGGAGCAGCCGGAGGGGAATGAGCTCACTCACCTCGGATCCAGCGGCTTTGGAGCAGGAGGCAACCGCCTCTTTAAAAATACATGATGGGGTCAGAAAGACTACGATCGTGAGAATACCTTCTTGTTCCGCCCCTCCCACAGGGCCTGACGCTTCTACCACTCAGTCCCACCCAGGGATGAGGAAATAGTGATGAGTCTGTCCCAGGAAGGGGGCAGCAGAAAAGGGCAGGAGTTCAGAGTCTTCGGGGCACCTGGTGGCAGCAAGGCACTGCTGGAAGCAGCCTTGGTCTCCTTGTGGACCCTGCTGTCGCTGTCCTGGGGCGGCCGCAGACGTGGGCAAGGGAAGCAGGTGCCTGCAGTGCTATATGAGGGGAAAAAAGCCGTGGTAGCCCCCAAGTATGGGTTGTCCTTTTCTCGCCCCTCTTGCCTGCCTTAGTATAGGGCTGAAATTCCCATGGTTAGAAACAGGACTCATTCATTCTTTCAATAAACATTTATTGAGCACCTACTGTGTGCCAGGCACTGTGCTAGGCGCTGGGGATACATCAGTGACTAACACACAGTCCCTGTCCTTGAGGAGCTCACAGTCTATCGGAGGGGAAACATACATAAACACATAGCTAAGGAGCTACCATGTGCTAAGTGCTACAATAAGAGGTATATACAAAGTGCTGTGGGAGCTCAGAGGAGGGAGTAATGCATCAGCTGCTGGGGGTGAGGAGCAAGTCTCTTGACTCTATTAACCACTGCAAAGGCAGGGATGTTGTTGCCACGTGACCCTGGTTGAAATGAACCTGTCTCCTGAGGCTCTCCTCTAGCCCTCTCCCATAACTATATCAGCACAGGTTAGTTTATCAGATTAGCTAATTTAACACTTCGAGTAGGAAAGAAACTGGACAGGGAAGTTTCTTTAGGGGCAGGGGATGTTCAAAGTAGTAACAACTCTTGGATGCTAAGGCTGGGGGGGTGGGGTGGGGGTACCATGAGGGCACTGAGCCAGGGAGGGCAGGCCCTGGGCAGTGGAGCACCTGGGGTGAGTGCCTGTGCAGAGGGGAGGTTGGAGGTCACCTACCTCAAACTTTGGTCCCCCATCTCTCACCAGCTCAAGCAGTAACCGTCCGCTGATGCTCACTAGTTGCTTCGTAGTGTGCCCTGCTCTTTGGGTGATACAGTCCCCTGCCCCTCAGAAGGTAACTGGGGAGACTAAATAGGTTCAGGTCGTTGAGGATGTAAGCAACAGTTTGTGATTATTACAGAGGAGATGTCACAGGCTGCTCACAATCAGTTGCCAAAACTGCCAAAACTGGTCTGGGGAGGCAGCTTCCATGAACCAAGACTTGAAGGATGGATACAACTTAATTGGTACTAGCGGGGTGGGAAGGCCATTCCGGTTGAGCAGAAGCGAGTAAAGCAAAAGCACAGAGGTGGGAAACTCCAACGGAGGCACATTCAAAGGCCAGCCAATCCACCCCTTTGACTGGAGCAGTACACAGGTCAGGGAAGCAATGCTGAGCCGACTGGGGAAGTCAGGCCCTGATGGTGAAGGGCCTTGTCAGAAGGTCAAAGACTTGGGAACTTGTCTGAAGACAGAGCTGATGCTAAGCGCAAAGTACTTCTGGAACGGCTGACCTGAGCCCTCAAGTGCTCCCCCACACCTCCTCCAGGACCCCTGGACTGCCTCACGATTCAGAAAATAAAGGGTTAATGCCCAGCCGCTCAGAACAGATTGGAGGTTAATTTTTTTTTTTTTTTTTTTGGCCGTACGCGGGCCTCTCACTGTTGTGGCCTCTCCTGCTGTGGAGCACAGGCTCACGGGCCCGGCCGCTCCGCGGCATGTGGGATCCTCCCGGACTGGGGCACGAACCCGCGCCCCCTGCATCGGCAGGCGGACTCTCAACCACTGCGCCACCAGGGAAACCCGGAGGTTAAGTATTTTGAGTGTCACCCCGACCTGGAGGCATCCTGGCAGAGGAAGAACAGAGGTGGTGCCCTGGCAGATTGGAGGGGCTGAGTCGGATCACCCTGGGGGGCTGCCAATATGTCTGGGGAGGGGGTTAAGCTCTGAGTTTGAGCTAGGCTGGGAATGTGGAAGAAGGCCAGATTTGAGAGACAATGGCAAACTGCGCTGGAGTTCAGGAAATGGGGAGGGGACAGGGTCAAGTGAACGCAGCCATCAGCTGGCTCTGAAATGTCAAGCTTAGAAGGTCAGGAAAATGGTGGCACCATTAACAGAAACAGGCAAGTCATGATGGCCTTTTTGTTTCGAAAGGTTTTGTGTGTGTGGAGGACTTTCAAAAATCCATTTTTGATAGAGGGGCACTCTTTGAGGGACTGACAGGCATCCAGGTAGAACTGTCCAGCAGACCGCTAGAAATGTGAGCCACAAGCTGAGGAGAAGAGTGAGGGCTGGAGCTCTAGATTTCAGACCCAACCCAAAGAGCCCTCCTGGAGCCAGGCGGGTGGATGAGGCCCTTGGGGGCACCCACAGGTAAAGTGGTAGATGTGGAGCCAGCACGGGCACAGAGAGAGAGGGTGACGGAGAACTCGGATGAGCCCAGCTAGTGCCGAAGGGGACGGGAAGTAGTGTCATGTGCTGTGAGGGCTCACAGGGGCCAAGAAGTGCGAAGAAGACCTTCGTATGATGAGTTCTATGGGGTTGGGGTGAGGGGGGCAGGGCCAGTCTCAACCCACGTGGCACCTTTGTGCCAAAATTACTTTTAAAGGTGACCCTCTTCAAGATGCTTTACTTTCCGCCACCAGGAAATGGTCATAATAAACTGATTTTATTAGAAAAAAATCACGTTAACGCCAAGCGCTGGAGACGTGTGAGAAATACACCTGCACAACCATGTATGCTTCCCTCCTGGGGGGAGAAGAGGGAGAACAAGAGGACGATAATGGGCTTGGCAGTGACCAGAAGGAGAGAGAAGGGCAACCAGGGGAGGTAGTTAGGTCACGTGGCTGGTTTTGTGCCAGGGACATAGCAAAGGTCCTGAGGCACTGATTCACATTAACCAAATTCACCAGATAATATCACTGTTTCCAAGGCTGACATATTAGTGCTCTTAGGCAGGCTCTGAAACGTGGCGGAGAGAGGAAAGCGAATTCACAGAAGAGACAGGGGACGGGATGGAGGCCCCAGGCCGAGGGGTTGACTTCAAGAGAAAATTGGCTGACCCCTTCTCAGAAAGAGGAAAGATGGAAGGAAGGCACATGGAGAGACAGGAGGAACAGGGAGCTCACAGCTGCTGGCTCCCGTCTTCGTGGAGGAGGAATCAGGGTGAGGTGAGAAAGCTGGAGGTCAGGGGCCGCGGCCCACTGGAGGTGGTCTGCTGCAGCGGTCGCGGAAGTGGCTGGGTGGACCGACCTGTGAGGGGAGTAGAAAGTAGGCTGAGCAGCAAGTAGGCACGAGCGGGGACAGAGGTGGGCCCAAAGCACACCGCTACTGGATTATCCGACTGTCCCCGGCCCCGCCTGCCAGCAGGGAAGCGGCAGGGGCAAAATTAATCAAGAGGGAAGCCAGGATTCGGGGTGCAGGGCAGGGCGCCCGTGGAGGCTGGTATTACAGCCCGAGCCCTTGGCGCAAACATCCAGCTAATTTAGCCCCCCTCCCCCCGGGGACATTGTGGCTGGGTCTGCCCCTGGAGGGGCACTTCAGCGAAGTGCTCTGGGGAGCTGATGTTTCCGGCCTGCTGGCTAATGACTGGTGGGCAAAGAGGCTGACCCCAGGAAGAAAGCGTCTTCCCCAACACACATGCTCATCGAAGGTCTCTTCCCCTGGACCTGCTCCAGCTCTGTGACATCTCTCCAGATGTGGGGGCTCCAACCTGTACCCCATAGGCTCAGAACAACCGAATCTTGGTTTGTACAAAGGGAACCGGAGAAGGCTTTCCCTTAAAACAGAAAATTCCCCATCTCTGTGGCTGACCCACAGAGACACACACCCTTGAAGACCTCACAGCTACACCCCCGTCCTCACCAAAGAAATGGAGATACAGACCCACGAGTACACACAAATACATACAGAGATATTCACGTACGGGATAGTAAGTACTCTGTGGAGGGAAAGAAGATGGTGAAATACAGTCAGGCAAAAAGACTCTTCTCACGAAGCCCCTACCCCAGCCCGGGCTTCAGACGTCTCAGGAGGTCTGCCCTCCGTCACCAAGTCAGCCTATTACCCCGACAAGAACATAGCCCCTAGTGCTCTTGAAAGCTGTGGTCTGACACCAGGGATGCTCCGACTGGGCCTGTCTTGGCCATGGTGACGCCGGGCAGGGGTGGGGCACGGGGGTGTGGTGTACTGACCCCCCACTGAAATATAAGGGCAGGTGCACTCCTTCAGTCAGGCTCTCTTAGAGGAAGTCCATATACAAATGCTGCTCCACTTTGCCTGGTGGGTCACACTTCCCCCCAAGCCCTCCGTTTATATGTCATGGGGCTCCATCTTAATGAGGGAAGTGGGGTTGAATGGGGAGAAGGGGGCTGGGGTTGGGGATCTGGTCAGTAGGCTCCCAGATGTGGTCACACTAGGCTCAGCCGTAAACAGGGACCCTGAGCCCGAGGAGAGCTCAAGTTCAGCCACCGGGGTCAGCCCAACAGTGGGGCGGCTGGGAGGAGAGAAAGTCTGGTTTCCCAGAAGGCTCGGATTGTGGGAACCCCTTGCAACTACCTGGGTTGGAAGTGGCTGAAGGTGAGCCTGATCCCTCAGGAGCTCCCTCAGGGTCTCTTCAGGAACCAGCAGCCCCTCCATGGGGGCCCCAGTCATCATGCCCTGTACATAGGAGGAGGGCCTCAGAGGCCCCTCCTTGACCCCAGGGGCTGCTGTGGCACCAGAAGTCCTGATGAAGGCCGCAATCACAGTCCCGGGGGGCTGAGAGCTGGGCCCTGCTGGGCCAGCCCCTGTGACCGAGGGTGGTGCTGGATTGGTCGGACAGTTGCCCCCAGCCAGAATTTGGGGGAGGCTACTGAGAATCAGCGGAGCCCCTGGTGCTGCCACCTGGTTCTCTTGGAAACTGGTGTTCAGGGGGAAGGAGGCCTGCAAAGTGAAGGTGTCCTTGAAGGTCGAAGCAGGCGGAACACTCTGGAGAACGAGCTGGGTTGAAGCAGTAGTACTGGCAGGAGGCCCGTTGGTCAGCACTGTGGTCAGCGGGATGGTCTGCAGGGTCAAGGCCGAGCCTGACCCGACAGGGGCCACTCCTAGGTGGATGTTGCTGGGCACTGAAGAAGTACTGAGGAGAAATAGAAAACGGATTTGGTTCAGGTAGGAGGCTCAGAAGGAGGGCACAGGAGGAACGGAGCTGAAGGCGTTTTCTTTGTCGTCACTTTGGCTACCGTTTGTTGAGCACTTAGTAAAGATCAGGGATCATTCTAACTGGCTGGCATGCAGGATTTCACTCAATCTTCCGATCAGCCATGAGTCGAATAAGATTAACAATCTGATTTTACTGTGTGAGGAAACAGGAACAGAGAGGTTATGTAACTTGCCCTAGACCACACAGCTAGTAACAGGGACGCATCAAGGCTTTCTGACTCCAGAGCTCGTGTTTGTCACCGCTCCACTCTACTGCCGTCCCTCTTCAGAAGAGCATCCCTGTGGCCCACACCAGCGTAGTGACAGGTACATACATATAAGCCAGACGAAGCCCAAAGTTTCCATGGAAAATTGGAGGCACCTTAGTGTGGACAAGAAGTAGCAAGAGCTTTCCTGGTGGGCTTGGAGGGCCTGAGGAAGGCAGGATGTTGCCTCTTTTCTGGAGTGGAGGAGCCTTGGGGGGATGAGCCCAGGAGTGGAGGCTCCCGGTGGCTGCTTGGGGAGCACTCTGGGGTAACAGAAACAGCCCCAGCTGGCAAGAGAAGCACCCCAGGTCAACAGCTGGCTTGGCCGTTACACTGGCGTGTGACCTCAGGCAAGTCACTTTTCCTCTTTTAACCAACAAGTGTCCCACTGGCTTCCCAGGGATGCCACAAGGGTCCCAGGAGACCCGAGAGAGAGCGAAGCTTTGCAAGAAGCTGAAAACGCTCCCCATCACGAGGTACTATGGGAAGACTTGGAACGACCTGGGTGCACTTACCTCACAGCTTTGGTGCGTTTGGCCTGGCTCTCTGGTGGAGAGACAAGCACCGTGGAGGTAGTGGGGATCTCCTCGTCTAGAGACAGTCCCGATTCCAGACTCGCAGATGGCTGTAGACCAACGTGCTGAACCTTTGGCTTTTCCCAGGAAGTGGCGCCCTTGCCATGCGGGGCAGCTCTGGATGATACCCTGGAGCTGGCTCGCCGGGTGGTGCTGCTGGACGAGGTGGAGGGAGTGGAGGCCTGAGGGGATGTGGCTGGGACTTCACTTCTCTCATCCTCGTCTTCAATCACCACCAGGTCCTTGGGCATCTCCTTAAACTGGTACACCAGCCTCTGCCCTTCCACTTTGGCAAGGATGCCTCTTTGGTAGTAATATCTGTGGGACACGGGACAGAAAGTGGGGGGTGAGCCAGGGACACACCACCCTCCCGGGCAGGGTGCGCACGAGGTGGAGGCTGGTCGGGGAGCCAGACAGGAGCCCAAGGGCAAGGGAAGGGGTAGGGCCAACTCTCGGACTTGGAAGGCTTTTATGAAATTTCTGATATCTCCCCCCTGATGACTCAAAGGGTCCACAAGCAGGGATTTCAAATGCTGACCCCCATCCTGCTTTGGGGCAGAGGACGGGGGTGAGTGAAGGATGGGAGGGGTGGACGATGGGGGTTCAGCAGTCCCCCAACCTGAGAGACCGACCGTGGGTAAGTCAGGCCCATCTTCCTGGACCCCTAGCTTGCAGAATATGAAGGAAGCCCTTCTTGGGGATGGGGGGCCCTAAAGTTCTCTTTCTGCTCTAAAAAGAAAAAAAGGCTAGGACAGAAATGCAAGAGGAAGGGGACTGTCCCTCCCAGGCGGGACCTGGGAAATGGGCTGGGGGGCAAGCAAACGGGAGAGTCACAGGAATTCCCTCCTCGGAAGAGCGTCCCGGTGACCCAGGCCACAGGAGCGAGGCACTTACACACCACCCAGAGCCCAGTCTTTTCAGGGAAAATTGGAGGCCCCTTAGCGACGGGACTCCTTGGGCAGAAGGAAGAGCTTGGTGACTCCTCAGGGCAGTGGCTCCTACCTTAGTGCCCGTCCCATCGTCTCATAGTTCATGTCAGGCTTGTTCTTCTGCTTCCCCCACAGCTTGGACACCGCTTTGGAATCCACCAGCTTGAAGATGCCTTTCTCTCGCTGGGTCCACTTGATGTACTTGGGGCAGGTGTTCCGGTCTTGCAGAAGTGCGAGGAGGAACTCCCACAGGTAGATGGTGCTGCCTGCAGAGTGGCAGGCGGTGAGGGGGCGCCCAGGCCCCCCGGCTCCCTACCCGCCTCACCTGCCTCCCCGCCGTACCTTTGCCATCCTTCGATTTCTTCCGAATGGGGATGCTGGGGTCAGTGACGGGTGAGGTACTGCGGTTGCCCTTGGTCTTCCGGACTGTGGGGGGATGGTGGGAGCAGGGTGAGGCTGAGCCCAGCCAGGGTGAGCGCTGAAGGGCGGCTCCTGGGAGGGAGGGCCCAAGCGCTCACCAAGTTAGGGTGGTGAGGCAGACAAGGCAGAGGCAGGTCGGGAGGCCCGGGTCACTCTCCACAGGCACAGCCTTCAGGTGCCCGCACCTGCCCAATGGCCAGCCCTCATTTTCAGGCCCCAAAGGTAGAGCAGAACACTGCTCCTGTGTGGGCAATGGAGTGCTTACCGATGCGCCACCTTTAGAAGATCAGAATCTGCCTCGCCTAATTTTTGAAACAAAAAGGCAGCCTAAAGGCGTGACTGTGGTGTGGATAAGTGTGGCACCAGGGTTTGGTTGCCGCACGGACACGGCAGTATCAACCAGCCATCGCCTGAGTAAATCAATAACACTGGGGCTTGGGAAAGCCCAAAGTCCTCTCCCATACATGGTCTCGGCTCCGTAAGCTCCGAGAGGGAAGATAAGAGCACGGGTTGAGGCAGAGGCCCCCAGAGGGCCAGGGACTGGCCAGGGCGCCAAGCCAGGTGTCTGAACACTCAGTACAGGATTCAACCCATGGGGATCATTGGGTTTTTAAGAGTTTACATATCTGCTGGGCAGATGGGGGTGGCCTGGGAAATGTCAGGCTTTGGGCAGGCCACCTGATGGGGCCCGTCTTTCCAGAAGGGAGGACTTTCTGTCCATCCCGCCACACCGGAGAGCTGTTCTCTTAAATGTGTCTGTGAACCTCACCCCGACACTCACCCCTACTTATGGTCTCCCTGAGCCCCTCCTACTGCCCACCCCCCTAAAGGAACACTCTCCCTCTCCTCCCCCCCCTTCTCTCTCTTACGTCTCTTCTTTGATTTTCCAGTCTTCTTGGTACTTTCTTCTCTGGGGACCTTCTCCTCCAGACAGCACTCCTCCCGGCCACCAGTGTCACCAGCCCTGTTCAGGGCGTCGGGCTCAGAGACAGGAAACAGGTAGCTGGGCAGAGTGACGGCTGGAGCAGGGTCCGGGTCTGGAAGCACTTCGGAGGTGCTGACTGCAAGAAGAAAGGCCTGAGGTGGGTGCGGCCCAGGGCATGGTCTCCCAGTGCTCAAGAGAACAAGGGGCTCCTGGCGGGGCGGGGCGAGGCGCCATTCCCCACGGCCCCAGACACAGGATACACCTGAAAATGCCTCCCGTGTCTCACAACACTAGGAGAGGAAACATCTGCAGAGCTGTGGGCACGAGCTGGCCCCAATCACGGCGGCCACGTTTATAGCGCACTGCTGGTGGTGGGGAAGCTCCAGGTGACACCCAAGGAAAAGGGCCACCTTGATTTAGTCATCTACTCATTTCACAACCGGAAGGAGCCTTAGACATCATTTAGCCCAATTCCTCTGCTTTTCTGGTGAGGAAACTGAGACCCAGAGATGGCAGAGCATGTGCCCAAGTTCACACAGCAAGCTGGTCACACATGCCTGGTACATGCAGGCACTCAGAAAATATCTGTTGAATCCTGAATGAATATTAGTGACAGAGTCAGGATTAGGAATGCTAGGATTCAGAATTTGCAGCTTCAGGGCTTCCTTTCCCCCACTGTATCCCAGTGCTTCCTTGGGAAGGGGCAGTTGGGGCCAGGAATCCTCCTGTGGAGTCACGGCAAGTGCGTGGGGGGTGCTGAGGGAGAAGCCTGCCTCGGGGGCCATCGGGGGAGGTAGGGGCCAACCTCCCAGAATAGTGAAGGGATGAAGAGGCCACACCCTGCACAGTCTTCCTGGGAGCTCAGCAAGACAGCAGAGGGGCCTGAAGTTACCCTGGCCAATAGTATTCAGCCTTAAAAAGGAAGGAAATTCTGACACATGCTATACATGGATGGACCTTGAGGACATTACATAAGTGAAATGAGCCAGTCCCTCCAAAACAAGTACTGTAAGCTTCTACTTATCTGAGGTCCCTAGAGGAGTCAAATTCATTGACACAGAAAGTAGAGTGGTGGTGGCCAGGGGCTGAGGGGAAGGGGAAATGGGGAGTTAGTGTTTCATGGGGACAGACTTTCAGTTTTACAAGGTGGCAAGTGTTCTGGAGAGGATGGTGGCGGCTGCACAACATAACAAATGTACTTAATACCACGGACCTGCACACTGAAAAATGGTTCAGGTGGTCCATGTTATGTTATGTGTATTTTACCATAATTGAAAAACTAGAAAAAAAAAAAAAACCCAAACAGTCACCCTGGCCATCTTTGCTTGTCTCCAGTGCCTTCCTGCCCTTCCCATTCCAGTCACAGCCAAAGAGCATGTGCACGTGTATATGGGTGGGTGTGGGTGCGCACACATGTCCCTGAGAATCTAATACACGGATGTGATATTTTTAAGGGAATTTTGTGTTGCTTCAACTTAAGGCGCCAGGGTTCAAACTTACAGATCTGCTTCTCATCCAGGATGTCATTGGGAGACTCGACGTTCAGCAAGACTTCAGTGGTTGACATGGTTTGCGAGGTTGCTTCATTGTCATCTGGTGCCGGGTTCCATGATATGGGGGAGAAGAAAAGTTCCCTCAGGGCATAGGGCAGTGGATGCAGCTACAACCAGGGCCAGCTCAGAGAATGGAGCTAAGGAGCCCGGGGGCAGCCGGGAGGGGACCAGCGCGCCTCCCACCCTGATTCTCCACCTTTCTCTACACCCATCCCAGCTGGTCTCCCCTCACTGTCCCGCTCCATCTCAGGAGATCATGAATCCATTTAGGTGGTTTCCTCCTCTCTGAAGTGGTACTACCTCCTGCTTATCCTAATCACCCCATCTAATTTCCAACTGTTGGGGGCCTTGACCTTGGCTGCGTGGGGTCACTAGAAGCCATTGTGGACTACTGTTCCCTGAAGACAGAACCCCTTTCTCCTCCACACCTTCTCTGCCCAGGAAGGAAACAGACCTGCCAGCAAAAAACTACCCTCCAGGATCTGATCCTGAGTCATGCACAAGGTCCCGTCTGTTATGATGCCATTGTGAACGTCGTCCAGCTCCAGGCCTGAGTACAGATGCAGTAATTCGGGGTAGGGGACCTGCTCCACGATCACAGCTGGGAACACTGAGGGGTCTTCCAGCTACGGAAAAGAGAGGGATCTGGTTCAGGGCTCACCCGCCTCTCCCAGGAAGCCCTCCGTACTGACCCTTCTTGCAATTCCTAATTCTTGGACCCCTCAGGGGCTGTCCTTTGTAGGGCATGACATTGCTCTGGGTCCAGCCTCACTAGGTGATGCTTTGAGTGGGTCCTTAATGAATAGAGATGGGTTAACTCTGTACCAGCTGCACTCAACCAGGGGCAGACAGTTCTAACTGGTCGTGGTTATGGGTTAATCGGTGAACAGGGTTAGTGCTCAGTCTATGAGAAGGATAAAGCTCATTCTGAAGCCAGTGGGAAAGGATTCGTCAATGGCAAAAAGGGCGAGGGACTCAGCCTACGCTCAGGGTTGGGTACCAGGGTTAGGGGCTCAGATTGTGAACATCTTAGGGCTCAGTCTGTGGTGATGAGAGTAGGAATGAAGACAGAAGAACAGAGGCATTATAGAGGTAGGAAGGTAAGGGCCTAGTCCCTGCCTGGATGGGGGAGAGGGTTCTGATTTCCAGTTTGATTCAGTGGGTGCATGGGGATACTGCTCTTGTTAAGGGGGAACCCAGAATGACGAGGAGTAGGTTTTTGGAGAAAGATAAGGGAGAAAGTGTCTGAATATGGTGAGTTGGAGGTACCACTGAGATACTTAAAATGGAGATACCTCAGGGAGTCAAAAATATGTATCCAAGAGCTCATCCCTGGGAGTGGATAAAATTATTGGGATAAGAATTTGACCCCCAGAGGACATAGTTGTTCTAAAATCAAACAAAGCTAAATTTAAAAAATGAGTGCAATCACAAGTGTTTTTTTAAAAATGACGAATAGAAGGAAATATACCAGGATGTTCATAATAATTATATTCTGGTTGTGGGACTTTGGGTGATTTTTTTCTTTTCTACTTGTCTGTATTTTCCAAATTTTCTTTCATGAGTCTGTTAATTCTTTCTTCATGAAAAAAAGAATGAGAATGCTCAGTTCTGCCTAATGTTCCTGAAGGATCCAGAAGAATAAGATCCTGGCTTTGGGTTTGGCCGCTGGGCAGTCACCTGGCTAGAGCAGTTTCAGGGGAGTGCTAGGGTCCCAAAACACATTACAACAGATCTCAGGGAGGACGGACAGAGGGAGGCAGGCAGGTGGGCGTAGTGATTAAGGCCACAGAGTCTAGAGCTACCAGTCCAGTACCATAGCCACTAGCCACCGGTGACTGTGTACATTTTTTCAAGATTAAAATTTCAGTTCTTCAGTTGCACCAGCCATAGTTCAAGTGCTCCATAGCCACATGGCCCCACACTGGACAGCGCAAATCTAGAGCATTTCTAGCATCTCAGAAAATTCTATTGGACTGTGCTGATCTAGAGTCAGACTACCTGGGTTTGAAACCAAACTCTGCTATTTACGAGCAGTGTGATCTTGCGCAAGTTACCTAACCTTTCTGTGCATCGGTTTCCTCCTTTATAAAACTGGGGCGGTCATATTATTGACCCCATAGGGTTTTTAAACAGATCAATGTAGATAAAGCACTTAGAACAGGGTCTGGCATACAGTAGGTTCTCATTAGGTGCTTTAGGCATCAGGGGCTTCTAGGAGACAAGTAACGTTTTATTTCTTAGCCTGGGTGGTGAGTTAATGCCTGTTCACTTTATAGTTATTCTTTAAATATATATATATATATAATTTATGCACTCTTTTGCATTCATTTTTAAAATTGAAGTATAGTTAATTTACAATGTTGTGTTAGTTTCAAGTGTACAGCAAAGTGATGCAGTTATACATACATACACACACATATACACACACATATATGTTCTTTTTCAGATTCTTTTCCATTATATGTTACCTCTTTTGTATTCACAGTATACTTTGCAACAAAAATTGTTTCCTAAAAAGAGTGAGAGAAGGGAGGTGAAAAAGTAAACCCAGAGGGTGGAGGCTACACTGGGGAGAAGAACAGACCTAAGAAGGTGGTATGTTGGAGGAGGCTGGCAGAAGGGAGGAAAGGGTTTCTTTTAGGGTTGGGGAGACATGAAAATGTTCTAGGTTGAGGAGAAAGGTGTGGGAGGTCTGAAAGGTACAAGAGAGAGAGGAGGTGATGGATGGTGTGAGGTCTTGAAGGCGGCAGGAGAGAAGAGATTAAGCACCGGGGTAGGTGTTACCCTTGGAAGGAAGAGGGTCACTTCTTTGTCCCAGGCCGGAGGAAAGGAAATAGGAACAGGTGATGTTATTGCTAAGAGGGAGAAGGGAGGGAAAGTGAGGGCGTCCTTGGGTTTGAGCTTCTCTGTGGATTGGAGGAGAGGCTGTCTGCTGAGGGTGGAGGGGCAGGCGTGGGGTTGGGAGGGAAGAACAGCTTCGGTGAAGAGCAGCCTTTATGAAGAACAGAAATAATTGCTGAGTGGACTAGAAACAAGTTAAAAAGTGACTAGCGGAGTTGAGAACCCAGGTAGAGTTAGATTTTTCTTCCCTTCGTCCAGGAGGTTAGGCACGCCAGAGATGCTGGATAAAACTGAGCAACTTTAGGTTAAGACCTAGCTGGACAGAAAGTACCATGTACTCCAAGCCCACTAGGGGGCAGCCTTTGGTAGGTCACTAGAGATTGGACAAAGTTTCCCATCCTCACAGGGATCTGGGATAGACAGCATCAGAATTAGGCTGGGGTGCCCTTGGAGATAATCCAGCTGGACTCCTCTTGGTGAAGATGGGGAGATGGCAGCCAGACAGGGTCGCGGACAGGACTTGCCCAGGTGACACTGTGGCCACACTGGGATCAGAACCCAGGGCTTTGGACTTCTAATCTTCCATTCCTTCTACCGGACCTGGCTGCCTCTTCTTCTCCAGTGTGTGGAAGGAGGGTAGTGGAGGGTAGGGATGAGTGTGCCAGGACACCATCCAACGGGTACATGTAAGTACCCTAGTGCCAGGCAAGGTATGGAGCAGTGGGGGCCTGAGTGCCAGAATCCTGTCCTGTTTTCCAATTTCCTCCCACCAGAGGAACCTATCTCCAGTTTATCCTGAATCCTTAGATCGAGGCTGAAAAGACGGTTATGGAAGGGCTCATCCACCGGGCTAGAGACGTGAGTCTGAAGGTGCTGGGGGTTGGACTGGACCCTGCGGTGCCAGCTGGCAGTTCTCAGTCCCGCTATGTGGTTGTCCCAGCACCTTTCTCACTGTGACACTGGAGGTGAAGCACAGTGGCCAAAAATGCACATGGAGGTCAGCGTACACTTGTGCATTCAGCCCGTTGCTGACCGACAGTTCAGCTAGTGTACTTAGCAGATGCTTGGCTGGCTTGGGAACTATGCGTGCCCTGTAATTGCACGTGGGCAAAACCAGCTCACTAAATGACCACGCGATGACTACTGCCTGGCCGCATGGGACGCGTTGGTGCACAGTCTGGCTGGCAAGCAGCCCCTATGTCCTGAACCTAGTAGGTGCTTGATCAATATTTGCTGACTGGGACTTCCCTGGTGGTCCAGCTGTAAAGAATCTGCCTTCCAATGCAGGGGATGCGGGTTTGATCCCTGGTCAGGGAACTAAGATCCCACGTGCTGCGGGGGCAACTAAGACCGCGTGCCACAACTACTGAGCCCGCATGCCTCATCTAGAGAGAGAAAACCCGCATGCCACAACTAGAGAGAAGTCCAAGCGCTGCAACGAAGAACCCGCGCACCACAACAAAAGATCCTGCGTGCCGCAACGAATATCCCGTGTGCCGCAACTAAGACCCGACGCAGCCAAAAATAAACATACATAAATGAATAAATAAAATATACATTAAAACAACAACAATATTTGCTTTCTGGCTAGCTGGCTGGTCGGCCAGCTCACTGGCTGTCTGCCTGCCTCTCTGTGTCTATCTGATTGTCTGCGCTGGCTGACCAGGTTCTGTTCTCTGGGGCCATACCTGGTGGATGTCATCCATTCCGTTGCTTGCAAACTCAAAGATCAGGTCACTGGGCTGCAGAGTAATAGCCATGCTGTCTTCTCAGAGAGCTGACTGCAGGATCCGCAGGGCCCTCTGGAGGCGTGGGGTTTCCTAAATGAAGAGATGCTGTACCTTGGAGCCTAGAGCCCACACCACGAGCCACGGTAAAATAGGGGTTGTAGAGAGCTGGAGTAGGTGGTGGCCTAAGCCAGGTTCAAGGCTGCATGCTGGGCTGGGCCAAGCGCAGGAGCGACCTACAGAGAAGGGAGAGATGGGGGCAGTGAGTAAGTCACCTTCCTTGAGCTCTGTTCCTAGGACAGACTGCCAAAAGAGGGATAGCCAAAAGTGGAGGACAGTGGGAGCAGAAGGGGGAGGGAAAAGAAAAGGAGGCAGGTAAGGAAAGAAGGAAGAAGAGAAAGTTAATTGAGTCGCCTTGAGAGGGAAGAGGCTGAGCCTCGATGCCAGTCTGGGTCACCAGCATCTGCACCTGAGCTGGCCTCCCTCCCTTCCCACGCCCTCTGGAGAAGGTGAGAGATAGCGGGAGTTCGGGCTCTCTCCACTCTGAAGATTAATCCCCAGGATGCGGCCACAGGGGAAGCCAGGGGCAGCCCATCTGGCCTCATGGATGGAGCATGAAGAATCCCTACAGTACCCTTGGCTGGGGAAAGAATCTGCGTGCGAGACTTGGGGCGGGGACATTTGGGCGCACAGGATGGTCTTCTAGGCTCTGCCTGGCTCGGTTTGCCTTGGGAGTAGAGGCCACTGAGTTCTGAAGGGCAGAGTCCACTGTGGAAGTCATGTCTCACTGTAGGGGTTGTGTTGTCAGGGCCAGTGACAGCCTGACCCTGCTTGAGGGGATGGGACTCTCAGACTCAACCACGCCTCCAGAGAGCCTGGAGACAGAGGGACAGGTGGGCCGCATGTCCTGCGCTCTCGTCACCACCCAGCCACCGCCGCCGCCCGCCAGAGATGATGGCCTCTGTGCCGTATGTGGCTTGTGCTCTTGGTTTAGCTTTGCTTTCAGTTTCAAGACTGAACTGTCACCCTGGGAACCGGCGAGGAGAGCCGCAGCTGGGGGAAGGGCGCAGGGGACCTTCCCCATCATCCAGGGCCAGCTCAGGGCCCCCCTCTTCCAGGAGATCTGTCTGCTGCAGTCCACATATCTGTCCTCTGTGGCACTCACAGTCTGTACCTCAGGTGCTCACATGGCACCCGGGCCTCTGATTGTTTCCTGTGCTTGCTGCCCTTCTCTAGGCATCTGCGCAGCACCCAGGCCTGCCTCCCAGAGCCCTGGCTCCCCTCCCACGCCCCTCCCTCCAGCGCGGTCAGCATCTCCAGCCCGAACACTCAGGTAGCACGGCTTTGGCCCCGAGGGTTCTGCTCTGCGTGGTACCCGCGTGTGTGTAGGTGTGGCAGGTCTACGAACAGCCTGGTTCAACCATAAGCGTCTGAAGAACTGGCTCCACGCACCATAGGAGGAGCGACACACTTGACCCCCAGCTCCTCGACACTCCTTTGGCTGTGTCAGGGTGGCAAAACCTTCTCCTGGCCCGTAAAGAAAGGAGGAACTTCAGAGAGGGACAAAGGGGAGGAAAGGGAGGGGGATATCACGGGTGACCTCCCTGATGAGCACTCTCCCCCACAGGAGACACCCAGGCCTCTCCCACTTCCTTTCCGTTAGCCCACAGGGCTGGCTCCGCCCCCCCCCCCCCCCCCCCCCCCCCCCCCCCCCCAAAAAAAACTTTTGAGACACTCCACACAAAGTGGCCGGTCTTATTTTCCCTTTGGGTGAATGAGAGGCTGAGCCCCGCGCTAGCGGGGCTTTCCACCACCCCCCCCCCCCCGCCCCCCCCACCTGCACGTGACCCGGGAGCCTGTGGCCTCCTGGAGAAGCCTCCCAGGGCCATTTATGCTTGGAAGGTCTGTCTCCCCCAGCTAAAGTGCCCCAAGGCCCGCATTCCGCAGCTCCCGCCCTCCCACAGGCCGGCCGTCTGCCCCCAGGAAGCATTCTCATACTAATCAAATGAAAGGCGATCACTTTCACCTAATCCCACTTTGTCTAAACATGAAACTCCTGTGTCTGCCCCTCTCTCCTCCGAGGTCATTCCGCCATGGCCTTTCCCTCCAGGTTTGCTCATCAGTTTGGCTTCTCTTCACAGTTCTGTGCACCTCCCTTACCTCCCCCATTAGAACGTGGCTTCACTGAGGGCATGGATGAAACTTTAGCACCTTGCACGGTGCTGGGCATGTAGCAGGCGCTCAATGTATGTTTGTGGAACGAACACATGAATGAATGGTACTGGTCAGCTAGTACCAGTGAGGTGTGTTTTCTGGGCAATAAGTATACCCCCATGCGTACATTGGGTGTGGGGTGGGTGTCACGTGCTCTAGCTTACAGGAGAGAGAGAAACGTGTGCACTCTGTGTGTGTTACATCTGTGTATTTCTGCACTGTAATTTACAATGAGGGGAGCTCGGGAGGGGGTTTGCTGTGGGTATGCAAACACACTGTAGATATACATATGTGCAGGGTGTGGGGATATGTGCGTGAGAGCCTCTGTGTGTCAAAGGGCTCTGGTCCTGTCTGGGCCAGCACAGCCACAAGCTCAGTCGTCGGTTCCTCCTCCGCCAGGCCTGCCTTTGTGAGAATGACAAGCCCGAGCTAATACTGGCAGCGCACCAAGCCAATGCCGGCTGGCAGAAGCTGGCTGTGGTGAAGTGGGCCGGGGCGGGGCCCAGGGTTCTGCTGGCGAGAGGGCCGCCATGGCCTCCCGGCCCCACACACGGAAAACTCAAAGTCCTCTTGCTTCCCAGGAGAAGAATGCCAGTAGCAGAATGTGTACGTGGCCCATGGGTCCTTGGGGTGAGCCCCCGCCAGGCCCGCTCTCCTAGGGGGGTGGTGGGAGAGGGAAGGCAGCTCCGCACTGGATTGGACGGAACCCTTGGCCATCAAGGCAAAAAGGAGAGGTTTGAAATACAAGATGGAGACGAATCCAATTGCCTTCTTTAGGTATCAGCGTGTCTAAATATCCAAATTCAGGACTTGGTTGGTGCAGGTCCCAACGGCCCAGAATTGTGACTATTGTGAGGCTGCACCCAGCACCCAAGGCTGATCCTGGTTTCTCGTTCTGCCCGAGAGCTCTAGCCTGAAGTTAAGGTGAAGAGGTGTGTGGGGTGGGGGTGGGAAGCTAAGAAAAGTCTCCCCTCACCCCCATGGAACCTTCCAGTCCAGAAGGTTTCACCCTTCCCCCTTCAGATGTTTGAGGATTTGAAAGTGAGAGGTGGGGAGAGGCTCATTTGCATGTTCACTCACTCTCCCCCAAGTCCCTCAAAATAACCTCCCTCTCCCAGGAACCTGAAACCAAAGAAGCCACCAGCACAAGAAGGCCCGCCCTGCTGGAGGCCGGGGAGGCCCGCACAGGGGCTCCCCTCCCTGGCGTCCTTACAGACGCCCTGGGACACACATTCACTGGCCTAGAGCCCTGGACACCGCCTCATGGGTGAGTGGGGGGCTAGGAAGGTCCACAAGGACACTTGGCTCAAGGAATCGGGCACCTGGTTACCCTTAGTAACCGGTGCTGAGTTCCTCCCACCCCGCCCCATCATTGCAAAGCTCACAGCTGGCTCCAGTCAAAGTCCACTCCCAGGGTGGCAAGAGCTCCACTCCCTTTGAGGCCACTGCAGTATCCCTGGCTCCCAGGGCCTGTCCTACTTGGGCTGAAAGCAAAGACTTTGTGAGAGCATATGGCCCCCGGCCTGTGTGTGTGCACGCGCATGTGCGTGCACGCCACAGGAGGGAGCAAGAAAGCGAGGGTGCCCACACCCCCGGCCTGCAAACACACACCTCTGGTTCTCTGTGGTTGTGATTGCATTTCAAAACCAAAATAGCAAAACAGAAGTGGTTTGGGCTGTTCCTGCGTCATCACAGCTGGGCCCCCTTCAGACGTACAGACCCTTTCTGGGGCTGTCACTGGAACATGTCAAGCGGTGTCCAGCACCCACCCATGTGGGCCTCCCCTACAGGAAACAGCCCCTATGTGAAAGCCACGTCCACGGTCTCCGTGGAGCAAGTTTAAATCTACACCCGTTCGGCTGAGCCAATGGCTCTCACAGAATCACTAATAACACCCGTGGCATTTTCACACACGCCGGCAAACATGGGGGCCAGATGGTCAGCTGGGCCCACAGAGCAGAGTTTCTCCAGTTCCTCACCCTCTCGCAGCCAGCTCTCACTCCTGAAATACCCCGTCCTCCCTGAAACCTTTCTGGAATTCTCTGGAAAGGAAGTGACAATTTCCTTCATGCCATTTCCCACTCCCTCAACACCCCTCCCCCACAACCACAAACAAAATGGAAACTACCCCAGGAACAGCTGTACCCTCTACTTAAAAACAGCCCCTCCTCCAATAGTCATCAAGCAGCACACTTGCACACTGCACCACATGACCAGTGGCGTGTATTTAAGAGGCAGAGGGCCAGACTCGGGGGTCCAGTCTGTAGCCATGGACGTAGCAGAAGTAAGCCAAGTGTGGGACTCCTGCACAACCTTGGTCCAACTAGAGCTGGACTCCAAGCAGCCAGCTAGACCCCCCTCCTTGAACAGATGCCCAGCGAAGGGGCCCTGGCCACAGCTATTTTGTCAGCTTCTTCTCCTCTATTCCTGCCTTCTTACCACTCCCTCCATTTGAGATGAAATCAGGAAGAGGGAGGGAAAAAAATAAAGGTTTTGCAAGCTCTGTTGGTTGGGGTTTCTCTGCGCTTATTTACAAGAAACCCAGTTTCCTTCCTTGGCCCTCGGTCACTGCCTGATTCCCGTGTATGGTTTGTCACAGCTCTGATGGTAAGGCAGGCCCAGAGCTCCTCTCCAACTGCCCCTGCCCTTTCTCAGCTCCAGGCCTGCCCCTACTTTCCCGCCGGAGCTGGCGCACTGGAGGAGGGGTCAGGGCTGCAGGTCGCAGGCACAGAGACGTCTGCTCCTCTTTCTCCAGGAGACCCAACAAGAGGTGTGACCCCGGAAAAGTCAGCCATCTTTCTGGGCTGTGGTTTCTGTCATCCTTAAGATGGGTGAGGGCTGAGGGGAATCCAGGCCTAGCAGCAGCTCACCAGGGAGTCTCGGGTGAATGAAGATGGTGGTGGGAAAGTGCTTTGAAAATTAAAACACACTCATTCAGATGATGAGTTCCAGGTGACATCCCAGAGAGCAAGGGGGCTGGAGACCCCATTAAGCTCCTGGATGCCCCCCCATGGCTCTAGAA